GTGTGTGTGTGTGTGTGTGTGTGTGTGTGTGTGTTTTGTCTTTGTTTTGTTTCGATTTTTGTTTATTTTTCTTTGCATCTTTTACAGGGACGGGGGTGAAAGGAAGGGATTAAATAAAAGAAATTGATTGTCCTTGTTGTCGTCTATTGTTCTGGATGTATTGTGAATAATAACACTTAGGTCATATCGTAGTCTTGTGCCATTGTCTTTCAGGAGTAAAACATATTATGGAAAGCAGGTCTGCGTTGTGCTGTTTCATTTTTCTAAATCGTGTATTTATTTATTTATTTATCTATCTATTTATTTATTTATCTATTTATTATCTATTTATTTTTAATTTATTTTTCAAAATTTACTTATTTATTCATTTATTCATTCATCCATGTTTTCCTTCACGTATTTGACAATTCATTCGTTCTTTCTCCATCCTCAGACGAACAAGATGCTCCCCCTGTCATGGAAGAGTCACTTCCGGCCATAAATGCCCCGCCCCCTACAACAGCTCAACCAACCAGCGGCACCGCCTTCTCTCGGCCCCTCCCCTCCAACAACTTCGCCCGACACAGCTCCGACATTGACATCATCACGTCATCAGCGTCCTCCGCCCCCTACAACGATATGCTCCGCCCCTCCGCCATCAACCCTAACCCCCTCCCTCTCTCACCCATCAAACACTTCCCTTCCTACGAACGACCTTCCTATCTCCCCGCCTTCAGTTTGAACACGTATTCTGATTACGTCACTCACCCAAACTCCCTCCACACGCCCAGGCAAGTCCAAGCCTTCTCGGAGCACACGCCTTCTCAACCTTTTCCTCCAATGGGATTTAACCCCACGGTGAACGCTCCGCCCCCCGCCCCGCCTACTTACTGGAGTGACAGCCGCCCCCACCACTCCTCACTCACCGACCCGTACTCTCAGCTGGGCTACAACAACTACCAGCAAAGCTACGACAGCTACAAGAAGAACCCCCTCCTCCGTAGCTCTATGTACCAAGACAGTTTGTCTCGCTCCAACCCCCCGCCCCCTTTTGACAGCTTCTCAAGGTCAAACCCGCCTCCTTTTGACAGTTTCTCAAGGTCAAACCCGGGTCTGGACGGTCTAACGAGGTCAAACCCGGGTTTTGAGGGACTCGCTCGGCCAAACCCGACGTCCTTTGACAGCTCAAGATCTGCTATGTATTATCCCAGGACTCATGACAACTTCCAAGGTAAACTAAGACTGGATCTCAAGAGTAGTAGTAGTAGTAGTAGTAGTAGTAGTAGTAGTAGTAGTAGTAGTAGTAGTTGCTGTTGTTGTTGTTGTTTTGTTGCTGTTGTTGTTATTGTTATTGTTGTTATGGTCTAAGTAAGAGGTGCGTTTATATAGCGCATATCCACGCTCTATAGCATACTGTATGTGCTTTTCAAATTTTGACAAGTATTACCCCAGTAGACTTTAAAAGGAAGTTCTGATGGCCGAATGGACAGTGTGTCTGCCTTTGAAGAATCCCCCGGGGTGGTGCTACTGACTGAAGCGTCTTTGGGCCATTCCCAAATGGGAGGGGGGGGGGGACATAACATCTCGAGTTCTTATGCATTGTAGAATTATAATTTTAAATGGGCTGATTCATCATAGCTGTGTCCGAACTGCAACCGGGTACTGCTGCATTTTCTTTCCTAATCCTTGCTTTCGTCATTTTTCCTCCACTTCTTTTGTATGTTTGTCACTCTCTTGTGACCCGCCATTTCCGGGGTGCTTTGATAGTCGAAGCAGACTTTGTGCTGTTGAAGCTAGAGAGGTAAGCAGAGTAAGTCTGATTCCTTGTAAAGACTTCTCTGTTGACATCCACCCCTTGGCGCTCATATGACCTTATGTAGTTGCGAGCGCTGTAAAAACCTTACTAAAACAAACAAAAGACTTTAGAACATCTAGAAACATGCTCAGGTTCGCAGGAAGCATACAGCGTAAGCTGTCACCAAACAGGCGCTAAAACACTTTACTCTCTTTGGTATTCCTTCTAGTTTGCACTTGGGTATTGTTGTTGTTTGTTGTTGTTGTTGTTGTTGTTATTGTTGTTGTTGTTGTTGTTGTTGTTGTTGTCGTTGTTTTTAAGAACATTACACAATTTTGCGTTTTGCACAATCTTCTTTGCAGAACTACCTCTATTCTAATCGTGAACTTAAATTTTTTCCTCTAACAGTAGGATCGTCACTAACCGTTGGGTCCTACGGAAACAGCTTTATGGAGATCACTCCGCCGGGCAGCCAATATGGCCGACAGGAGGGACTACTTTACCAAGATGACGTCTTCGCCTCCAACATGGCCGCGGCTTCTGGCTTCGCGGGATTCCCAAAGACCTACCTTCCCGCTGGATTCAGATGAGAGAACCATGTGGATTCTACACATGTTGTATTCCGGGAAGTTTTTAAATTGGCGGGAATAAAATTTAATTGTTGTAATGAAAATCGAAATTCAATTTAGAAGGGTAGATCTACACAAACAACAGCACAAAGTATGACATGATGCCCAGAGCAGGATATCGTGGACACCTGACTTAAATCATAAAACCTCTAAACTGGGTCAAACAGGGGTTTGTTTGCTGTTGTTGGCTTTTTGGTCTAAAATTGTTATTGTTATTTCCAACCATAATTATCGGTTGATGATCTTGAAATAAGTAAAAAGAACATTCTACACTACAGTTTGAGCAATTTTGGAGTAAACTACAGTATTATGTTTCCTCCAAAAACGAAACTGGAAAAAAATTTCTAGAGCAAAATTCATTCCAGTTTTGAACGAGCATGTTAAAAAAACTAATAAATAAAATACTACAGCTTTGGACAAGTTTCAAATTGCTAGTCCATGTGAGTGAACAAAATCTGAAACATTCCAAACCGTCTGTATCAATCTCTATTTTTGTATATCATTATTCTGAAAGCCAAGCAGTGTGGACTTCTAATGGTTGAAAAGATGAAAACAGAAAAAGGGAGAGAGAAAGATTGAATTAATGAATTCCTCCTTTCATGTTTATTGGTACTGCCTTTCTCTTTCACGAATACTGCTCAGTGCAAAATGTGCCTTTATACACATTCAGAACTGCCGTAAAAAATGTTTTAAACATTAACGTTTTGCTCAAATGCTATCTCTGTGTATCTGTTACATAAGTGCCACCTATGTTTACAATTTTTAAAAATTACTTACTATATGGGGGTGGTGGCGGAGCGGTCAGTGCGCTCGTCTCCGAAGCGGAAAGTCCGGGTTCGAGCCTCGGTTCGGACACGGATTTTTTTTTCGCCCCCATCCTGCCCACCCAGCAGTAATGGGTACCTGACTTCGAGTTGGGGAAGTAAAGGCGGCGAGGAAAGGAACTGGCCACCCTACCACAATATGCCGAAGACCCAGGAAGTTGTCTCACTAACAAGGCATTCCCAAATGTCCGGATCGGATGCGGGAACAACTTTACTTTACTTTACTGTGTGACGTCATTGATCTTCTATGTGCCTGCATCAATACAAAATAAAGCAAAGTTTACGATGAACCACTGGAAACATCTTCCTCTTGTGTGTGCCTGTGTGTGTGGGTGTGTGTGTGAGTGTGTGTGTGTGTGTGTGTGTGTGTGTGTGTGTGTGTGTGTGTGTGTGTGTGTGTGAGTGAGTGTGTGTATGTGTGTGTGTGGTGTGTGTGGGGGGGTGAGTTTGAGTGTATGTGTATGTGTGTGTGTGTGGCGGGGGTGAGTTTGAGTGTATGTGTGTGTGTGTGTGTGTGTGTGTGTGTGTGTGTGTGTACGTGTGTGTGTGTGTGTGTATGTGTGTGTGTGAGGGTGGGGTTTGTGTGTTTGTGTGTGTGCGAAAGTGTGTGTGTGTGAAAGTGTGTCTGTGAAAGTGTGTGTGTGAGTGTGAAAGTTTGTGTATGTATGTCGTATGTGTTATTTGTGTGTTGTACTTATTAGTGTTATTGTGTGTGTTTGTGTGTTTGTCTTTTGCGCATGTGTTTAGAAGAGTGCGCATGTGCGTGTTTGTGTCTGTACGTGTAATCAATTCACTGGTTGAATCAATAATTGTTTCGTTGTGGGTGGTTGACGGGTGTTCTGGTGGGCTTTGCTCCTTCTTTCCTATCAATCATCTATCGTATTTCTTTCTCCTCTTTCTAACGTCTGTTAGTAACCTTAAACCTCTTATAAGAACACTGGTCTTTCGGTCAGCATTTGCAATAATGATAAAATGTTTATATTATGAGGTTCAACCAGGGTAAACAGCTTTAATTTAAGCTCTATTGTTGAAGTTACCTCCCTTGCTTCTCAATTTACTGTCGTATATCCCTGAAAGACCATAACTGGTCGCTTTTAAGGACAAGCGGGCTAACCCAGATTTCGGGGGTTTTCAGAAATCTTGACCTACACCAAAAGTGGGCATTGCCCTACCTATAGGAGTTTGGTTTCATTAGGGTGTATTTGTGTTTGGTTATAGAGAAAACTCTCCTTGTCTTTTAAAGAAACTGAACAAGGGGCTACAACTTTACCTTCGAATTTCTCAAAAACAACATTTTTGGGGTTTAGCCCCCTTGTGCTTAAAAGACAATAAGTAACCTTGCCCCGGTAAAACTGAGAGTCAGCATTTATACCACAATGCGTCTTTGATGTAGTTCAGCGTCCTTCCTAGTAAAGTAATGATAAATAGCATTTATGTTGCACATTTCAGTTTTCTATAAAAAAAAATATTAAAAAATAAAAAAAAAGTGCTGAACACCTATTACATTCATAAAGATAGATATCACATCTTAGAACTATTGGAAAGGTGTGTACATGAAACATAACATTACGAGTAAATGTATACTAAATTTTCTTTCAGAAAATTAGTGATCTTCATCTTCATCATCATCATCGTTGTCATCATCATCATTATTGTCTTTTCACCAGGGTATAGGCCACGGGCAAACCCTTTCCACCACTCTCTATCCTTGGCTAGCCTCTTGATGTTATTCCATGTCTTCTCACTTTTCTGTAAATCTATTTCTGTGATTCTTCTGATCCCGACAATGCGGGCTCTAAAATACGTAGAATAAACACTTAGCCTTCTCCGATAAGGGCAACAAATCTCGGAGGTCCCGTGTGTAAGTTGCGCACGTTAAAGATCCCTTGGTGGTCTAAAAATCGATAAGAGTAGGCTTCGGCCGCCACCCGGGCAAAATTCAAAATTTCCTAGCAACTGATAATGTTTAATGTGTCCCGCGCGCTCACATGACCTTATGCAGTAGCAAGGGCTGTAAAACACTTACCGGGAGTTTTATTTTAACCACTCCGCTGTCAGGCCCGAGAATTGAGTTTTGGAACAGGTTTAAGTAAATGGGCATTCTTGAGTTTCATAAATCTCAGCTTATTATATTGCCTACGAATTCATTGAAGGCTATTTAATTTGTTTGTTTGAAGTCCGTGGTTTGGTCACGTCGTTGTCCCCGCTCAACCGTCAACACTATCGAC